TTCAGCACTTTTCTATAACTTCTTAGAGGCTGCACTGTCTGCTGTTCAGCAACAGTTAAGGAGACTGGCTTCAAAAGGGAAATGTACCGTCCCGGTGTATGAATAATGCATTGTTTCCTTAATAAAGTGAAGCATTATGTTGCATATATCACAAGCACAACAAGGACTTTCATTCACAGTAAGTGTACATCTGTGTCTTGTGGCCAAAGGCACGTTAACAGAGTAACAGCTGAACAGTGACCTGTTTCAATATAAGATGTCATATCTCAGTTGCCAAACACAAGCTATGCGAGATGCACAAACTCAGTGATAAGAATAATAATGGAAATAATTCCATGTGTGATCAAAACCGTAGTTGGCGTGGACAGTCTTCATTTCCATAATTGTTGGGCTCTCCTGAACTCTAAGAGAAAAAGATAATGAACCCTAACTTGATGCTGATTGCCTAGTGATCAGTGTGAGTGTGAATCTTCTCCCTAGCAGGTGCATGCACTATATGAATGTGTGTATCCTGCTGTTCAGCTTGACTTATGTCAAAGTCATTTGAGGGGTCACGAGAGTGGAAAAGTGTTATCTTCCTGGGACCCGAGGGAAAAAAGTGTCTTCCAATTTCCTTTTTTGTGTGATTTCCTACCTATTTAGGGTTAAAAAAAACATCTTGCAATTTAGACTTTTTTCATTTTATTTTATTTTTAAATGTTACAGTATGTCCACTGTAGAGGACGTCGGGACCATATTGAAAAGACAGCCAAAATGAACAGACTATATGTAACGTTTTATGGTTATACTGTAGAGTGATATTAATGTTGTTTTTATAGGCAATAATTGAAACTTTGTTAGTCCAGGTTTAATATGTGCAATAAGTTCATTTCAATACGTTTTGCAATAAACATTGAACCAGTCCGGCCCTCGACTAGTACCCATTTTCTTATTTTGGCCCACTGTGTATTTGAGTTTGACGCTCCTGTTCTACAGCTTTAAATAGGACTGTACCTAATGTGATTCTTCAACATCAATCCAGCTAATAGTTGTGTCTGTCTCACATTTACATGGGTAGCAAAGTAGAATATGTTTCTACCAAATCTGGCCATGTTTCCAGTGAAACCACTTAGCTACCGGTCAGACTATGTGAGGCTTTAACAACAAAACATTTTTTATTTTCTTTCAAAAGTTATATTGTCTCACTTTAAATGTCTTACATGTTATTATTGCCTTTATGCATTCAACACATTTAGTTATATTTAAATAAATGTATCTGCAACTCATTTGCTACTCTAACCATTTCCGTTGCTCCCTTTCAAACAATGTGCATCGGTTACATCTACTAACTGCTGCCCCCTGCTTTTCACTATTGCAAAGACCTCACTTCCTCTTTTGCTGCAGTTAAGTTTGTACATTATTTATACTTTGAGTTTAATGATTAATTTAGGTTTGCTCATAAAGTTCATATTTTTATTTGTGTACAAATATTTCTCATATGAAAGTGAGTGTGATATATATTACCTAAATAAAGTAAATCTGATAAACCCTCTTTCTGGTAAGCTATGAACCTGCCTGGGGCTTCAGCCTACCCATCTTCAAATGCATCTCTCAGTACATAAATATTGTACGTTATACATTATTAATGACCTGTTACTCCTTCTTTCAGACCCTCGTCCTATGAGATCCTAAGATGAAATCACATGACGAGGAAAAGCAATGAATGGGAGAGGACTGCCGGCTCACACTCCTCTCACTTTTGCTGTAGCACACATTACTACAGCTGCAGTCATAAGGATGAGAGAGGGGATGGAGAGAGGAGGAGGAGAGAGGGGGGAGGCAGGGCGGGGCTGCTGAGTGATAGCAGAGTGAGGAAGCTGCTCAACGGACCGCCAAGAAACAGGGAGGAGGAGGAGGAGGAGGAAGAGAGAGAGTATTTCCACAGGAGGTGAGCGCCGGCTTCAGAGGAGGTGGGGGGGGGGCTTCCAGACTGGATGGGCCCAGCGATGCCTTGATGGAGTATGGGCCAGGTTTTAGGATTCTCCCACTGCCGTGAGTCTGCTTTTGATCTGCTGTTTCCTTCTGTGTTTCCATGTGGGAGGTCTTTTCTATCTCACTCTACCTTTTTTTATATGTAGCCATTGTGTTTCAGCTCAGCATCTTCTCTTGCTAACAGCTGTAAGCATCGTATGTGTTAGCTCAGTCCCCTTCCTGCCTGCTCTCCATTCCTCTCTCCTACGTTTGGTTAACACATGGCTGAATTGATGGATGCAGTGCAGAGGGAGAGGCATTCTGTTGTCCTTGCATCCCTCTGATTTGTAGATGTTTGTGTGGCTGTGTACGAGGAGGCTTTGCAGGCAGGCATCTGAATAATGCAAGTTATTTCTCCCCTAAAAGCTTCTGTTGTGTGCTTTTATGTTTGTGTTTTATTTCATCTTTTTCCTCCAACAGTCACATGATTTTCAAGTGGTTTTATAAATACTTGCATGTGTTTAAGCATGCGCAGAATAGAGTATGCTGCACACTTAGCTCTGCCTGGGTTGATTTATTAGCTAATGTCATGCTGGCTATCTAATGTAGTGAAGGCCGGTACTGCTGCCAGCTTGGCTTTGTAAGAAAATGAGTCTGTATTTACGGTTGTCTATGACATCCTAAATCACATAAAGCAGTTATTCACAACAAGGTACTGAAATGTTTAGTTTATGTTCATTTTAATTTCACATGAATACACATACATTGCAGATTTGGAGAGGCCTATTAATCAGAAGAATGTAAGGGTTGTATTTAAAAGGTTAACTTCATGTAAAAGCAGCAACAACACATTTCTAACAATCTTTTTCGATTTTTTTTCTTTGCATGTGGTCTGGTAATTCATGTAAAATTGTGTCTGTGTTTTCTTCCAGAGGAATATGGCTCTGTGGCTTCCACTCCGGACTCAACACCTCCCTGCACCGATGGTATGATGAACAAAATAATTTTGTCTCACAATACTAACACAAATAGAAAATCCCTGCTTCCTGAAGGCTTTTTTCTGAAAGTTTTGATCAATGGTACACTTTTGGGGAGGAGAGATGTTTATGCACTTATCAAAGAGAGTTTCATTCACTTGTCTCACCTTCTTTTCTCCCAGACATCAAATGACAACCCTGGCTGCTTTTATCTGACACATCTATTCATTCAAAGCACTATCCTTGTATGCCTCTGGATTACAATACACACTATTATCAGCAGTCTCTACCTGTATAAGCTGTGGTTGGGGTGACCCTATTTTTTCTTATTCTGTCTCCATTCAGGCGGAAATGATGAGTCTGAGTTGTGCGAGCTGCAGACAGCCAGGGAGTGGTCTGACGATGAGGAGGAGGAAGATGATGACGAGGGTCTGCTTTCATCCTCGTCCATCTGGGGCACGCCGCGGCAGAACTCCTCCGAGCTGACTTTCTCTTACATCGCCATCGCCGAGGCCGAAGCTGTGGGAGCCTCGCGACACTTCCGACGCCGGTGCGCCTCTCGGGGGAGTCGCACTCCTTTGATCCGCACGGACACCCTGGAAACACTGTTGGACTCCCCAGATGTGGACTGGGACACTCAAGGTTTCCTCGGGCGAGAGGAAGAAGAGGAGGCCTCAGAGAGGCGAGAGCAGGAGAGGGTGGAGCAGCACATATTAACTGAGACCATTACAGTCCAGCCCATTCCCCAAAGTCTGGAGTCAGAAACTCAGGGGAGAGACGCAGGAATTCAAAGAGGAGAGTCTCCCAGCAGTCAGATTCAGATGGAACAGAGTCCCTCCCTCCTTCAGGGTAAGAAAGAGCAAATGGGTGTGTAGGCCATGTAGTGTCGAGTTGTGCTCTATTTTGTCTGCTAACCAAAAGTTTAAGTAGTGGTTTACAATGTTCAAATGTTGGTCCAACAGGTATCGGGTTTGTCTCAGTTAATTCAGAAGGACCTTCCCAGATCTAATGATGATGATTTGACTAATGAAATGTTTTCTAATCTATATATATATTCAGATGTATCTTGAAATGCCCAACCTAATTATTTTCAGCCTTTTCAGAGTAACACCATTTATGTGGGTAATTATTTTACTCCATAGCGTGTAGCCAGTAATGCAGACTAACATGCTACAAGTCTGCTAATTATTTTTGTTTCCACGATGCTATCCAGAAGATTTTGTTTAAGAAAGGTTATAACTGGAAAAAGTGATATATGTTTTACCTCACAGCTAAAATGTTGCGGTCCAAATACTGTGTCTCACAGCTCAAGCTGAGCATGTGCTCATGTGCTGTGATGTCCTTCTGATGGTGACATCATCTTTTGTTTCCCGGCAGCCGCAGCCGCAGCCTCACAGACCCCCGAGTCAGAGTCACCCGTCACCAGGGAAACCATTTCAGTCAAGCTGCTCACATCAATGCAACCCAGAGGCCCGGCATCTTCGACTCCAGCTGCCATTGGTCAAAACTCTCAGGAACAGCTGGTCAGCGATCACTGGTTTTCAGCTCTTAACCTATCAGAAGACTTTACCTATCAGAACACTATCATAGCAGGTACAACCCTCACATCTTTAAATAAGCTTACACGTTTATATAACCATGATTAATTAAACTTTAGTTAAAAACATTTATGCATCTGTTAACAACCAAAGAAATGGTAATGAATGATGTTTACTAAGTTTTAGATATCCTATAATTTATTTTATTTAAGAAGTTCCATCCATCCATCTTCTCCCACTTATCCGTGGTCGGATATTTAAGAAGTTATGGTGCACATAGTGTAAACACTGTATTTAGTATGTGTTAATGATAAGAATCGGAACACCAGAGATTTGCATATGTCTTCTATAAACATTATTTGGATGGCTTTTATAAAGTTGCAACTGATGATTTAAAATAACTTGATGAATAGTTAATAGATAGTTGTTAAAGCTTAATACATTGTTTAGACAGATAGTAATTTGTAAATACTTACTAATTAGTGGCTGCTCCAACTATCAATGCCTATCTTTGATTTTATATTACACAAAGGATATGATCAAATACCATTGAAGCATCACTACAATATGAAAACATTATTCATTATCATTTCATTGTTTGGAAATAGAAATACCTATTAACTGTGGCTGTATTAACTATCAATTTACTGTTTATTAACAATGGTTATTAGAAGTATCATGTTCTCACTGGTCTGACCACCGTCCTCACATCTCTTTGTCTTGGTCTTGTTGTCGAGCAAGGTCCTCTCTCTTTAACCCGTTAATCAATACTTTAAATAAGGGAAATATCAGATTTCGCTTTCAGCATGGACCTTAAAGAACAGGCTGACAAAGATAGCCTCCCCGGAAGTCCTGCCTGCTCATTTATTCTCCATAGTTACCCTCTCTGGGGATTTCAGGAATGATTAGCTAATTGCGGGGAAAGCATTTTTGGCATTGGTAGACTTTTTAGACAAGCACACCACCATCACTGATGCTATAATTTCCATGTTGATCACACACAAACACACAGAGTAGGAGACAGGTGTGTGTGCCTTTATTTTGTGGGAGATTGTTTGCACGAGTGTTTGAGACAAAAGAAAAAGCAAGAAAGACAGAGTGCGAGATAAAATCCTGTTCTTAGCTTGGCGGCATTTTAAGTGGATAGTCGAGTAGAGTGCAGTCTTATTTTAGTGGATGTGGGGGGGGTTCAGTAACCCCTCAGACCGCTGATGAATGTGTGGCCGGGCTGATGACAGAGTTTAGGGTGTCCTGAATAAATAGCACACATGCATCTATTGGAGCATCATATCTCTTTTGGTTTTATTACTTGTTGTAGAGGCTGCATAACCTCAGTATGTTTTCTGTCAATTTGAATGTCTCCAGCAACATCATATCAAATATCTTTGCATTTTGTAACATTAAACACTTGAAAAGCTTTTAATTTTAAATGATACCCAACCCTACTTATTGGACTTTGCAACAAAATTGTTTATCTGCATACTAATGTCTCAATTTTCAAACCAATTAAGCGAGTAATTCTTTCCTGAATCTGCAGATTAAAATGACCATTTCATTTTCGGCAATTCTCTCTGATTATCAGGTTATTTGTTGCCAAGCATTATACAATGAACAAGCTTTATTTCAGGAACTTTCAGGACTCTTAACAAGAAAAAAGGACAGAACATCAAGCTCCTCATCCATTTATTATCAGTAGTGGTGGCACAGAAAGGTTTGGCCTGGTGACATAACAGAAAATAACCCGGGTTCTCCTGTTTCAGGTGTTAGATGGCACATGAATACCAAACCCAACTCTATATAACTTTGTGTGAGTTCAAAGGAATACCTTCCATTCATTCTGATTCAGAATCTACCTTTGCATAAAGGAATATGATCTAAGGATTTTGAGAGTTTTGTGTGATTGTGGTGAATCATGTCTTAAGTGTTAAGCTCTTGGAGACGCGATGAGAGGTGGGCGGTGCTGCGAACTAGATTATTTTGGGATGTCAGGCCTTTGGACTGCTGAGCGAGCAGGGGGTGGCCAAAAACAGCTCAGAGGGGAGAGGGGAGCCTAACGGGATTGAGAGGGACAGAGGGTGTGAGAGGGAACACTGGAGCGGTAACTAAAATGGCCAGTAAAGGTGAGAACATACGATTGATGCAAAAAGAAGATTATTTGAGACACCTATGTAGACCATGTATCTGTTTACTGCATTGAGCTGCAAAGTGATGTGTTTAATTTTAGAGAGAAGAGGGAAGGCAGTGGAAAGCTACAGGGAATGGAAAGGGGTGGAAACCACTTCTAGGTCTTTTAGACTGTTAAGCTTTGTGACTTTAGTGTAGAGTTGAGAAGGCTGGACTATCAGGGGGCTGAAGGTGGGAATTGAGTGATTTCTCGCTCCTCTATGATCATTTTACAAGCAGATTCTCTGGAGACAGCAGCGTCAGTCAGCTAGAGTTGTGTTTGCCTTTTAACTGATGAGCTGTACCTATCATGCATGGTAGTGCATGTATAATGAGTCTTCAATTATTCAAAAGAGCGATAGTCTTATTAATTTATGTAAACTGTCCTGTTGTGGTATGCTCGGTCATTTTGCCAGCTGGGTTACATTTTTGGCACAAGCAGCACTATAGTATGGAATTTATTGGACAGATGTGATTAAGCTGACAGAAACTGGATCGAATGCAATATATTTTAAGGTTCAAATCAAATGATGTCACGCTGAGTTTACATAAAGTATACACGAGACATGTGATTTATGATGTTTTTGTTTAAATGGCTGATTTATTGATTGAATTGATAATTCCTTAATTCAATCACTTCCTCAATGCTCCTTTTTCATAATATGTAACTAAGTCACCTGCTTAGTACACCAGCATACATTGTTCTGGATTGGATTGCATTATGTGTTGGAGAGAGTGTTCTCGCTGATTTCAGTCATTCGCTGTATTTTCATTTGCTGATATGATAATACAGCTGCACAATAAGTTCACCTGAAGTATATTAATGTTTGCATAGCACAGGTTTAGTTGAGATTAGCTATTAATGGCAATAGAAGTAAGAGGAAGTCTGAAGTGAGGTCCTCTTTAAAAGTTCCCAAAAGGCTTATTTATCATACCCAGACAATAGCTAATTAGCATATATTATCTTAGCAAAGTTTAGCTTAGCTTAGCTTTGCTTAGCTTAGCATAGCACAGCTGGCCTTGTTCAGTCCTAAGGGAACAATATATGGGCACCAGTACTTCTTAAGCTCATTAATTATGCTTGATTAATCTGTTCTAAAACTTTTTTGAAAATGGCGACTGCAGGAAGTGTCTTCCATATGTCCATTCCAGTGTTGGACTATTTCAATTGTTCTTATTTAGTTAGACGCTCTGACACCAATGTGCTGAGCAAACCTGTCTCAGAATGACAGCAGCACAAACAAACCGGTGGACAGGTGTGTTTCAGTGGCATCATGGGTAATATAAATTGTGCTCAGTGATGCTTATGAGTTACCTATCTATTGTCTGTGAACAGGCTTCCCTTTTCTCTAATGCAAAGGCTAAGCAATTCACTGAATGAAAAGCACAAATAAATATTGAAGGTTAACTCGTTGGGAATCATGGTCATTTAAAAGGGTTCAAAAAGTGATGTTATGTAAAGAGACACATTTGATGGTTGAAAGACTGTATCAAACAGTATATTCATTTTAATTAAATATCCTTTTGGTATTAATGAAACAAGGAGAATATTGTAATAGCAACAGATACTATTGTTATTACAGTATAAAGATAAAAAGGTAAAATAGCCACAAATTGAAGTCCACTCCTCTAAAGCATGACTCGGACGCCACTGTCTCCAAGGGAGCTGTTGCCGGGTGACAGAGAGGGACAGCAGCAGGGTGTGGAAAAGGGGCTGCTAACGGCTGATGTCTGTGGGCAGGTGCTGTGAAAGGCTGCTCTCTTCTCGACCGCTTGCTTCCCTCTTTCATCCGAGGGCTAAATTTAGCCAGAGCAGCAGCCTGACGTGTCCTAGTCGCTGCTCTGAGTGCTGAAAGCTAGAACTGCTTTCTGCTTCATGTCCCCCCTTTCCAACCCTCTTCCTTCTCTTCTCCTTTTCTTCCCTACAGTATGTCAGAACCACTGTTTTCCTCTTCCTCTCCCTTGTTCCCAGACAAATTAAAGACCTTTGTGGGGATACAAGATGGAGGCTCCAGTCATATTGCTAGAAACCAGCTTGTTTAAGATGTTAAGACATTGGTCTGAGCATTTCTTTTTTTTTTTTTCATTTAAATGTAATTATTCAAAAAAAAATGTCTGCATATCTGTCCTATAAGTCGTAACAGCCAACTGTACTTTTTAAAAAAGATTTTTCTACTCAATACTGTTTTATTTCATCATCTTCTACACTGTTCTCCATAAATTAACATCACTGTTTTTATTCTGGTTTAATCTTTTCCTCCCTCTCCTCTCACCTTGTCTTTCAGTGATGGACGTGATCTACTGGAAGGACACGGAGCGGACAGGCATGATCCTGACAGGGATAGTGGTCGGCCTGCTGTCCTTGTTCCAGCTCAGCGTCATCTCTGTGCTCTCCACTGTCTCACTGGCTGTCATGTGCTTCACCATCTCAGTGCGCATCTACTACCAAGTCCTCTACATCCTCAACTGGGGAGATGGAGCGCATCCCTTCAAGTAAGACCATATGCTGTCATGTATTCTTTAAGGACACTGGATGTTTATCCCTCCTATTTTCTACAGCTTTCCTAAAAAAGGAACATAGTCAAACTAGGGAAAAGATGCTTGACCCCATTCAGTCACAGTGCATAGATGCTTTCCAAAACAAACCCCTGAGTCAATTTGGCCACACGCCTTCCACACATTTCTATTTTCTTTCTTTAAGTAAGCAACTTCTTTTGAACTTCACATATAATTGACTGTGCTTATATCAAATAATGTAGTATTTTCTCCAATTACGGTTATTAATAAAAAGCTGGCTCAAGTGCTTTCATTAAATATTGATACACCTTTTTCTATAAAAGGCGACTTTTAAAAATGGCTTTTGACTGCTGGTCACTGACTTGATTTATATTTGGGCTTGAGGGATAGGAGCTAAAGAACTTGTACCACTGTGCCATTAAATAGAATTATTTTATGACCAGTACAGGAAGTATCACATTTCTGTTTATTGCCAATACTTCTATCCTCCTCAGCTTCCTTTTTTCGCATCTCATGTCCTCTTCTTGTTTTATCTCAGGTCATATTTGGGCATGGACATCAGCCTCAGTGGAGAGGAGGCCGACCTCTACATGCAGAAAGCCATCGTGTTGGCTATGTCTGCTGTTGAATCTCTGAAGGGACTCCTTTTTGTTAAAAATCTCTTGGAGTCCATCAAGGTGAGCTTTAGCTAGCCAATTAAGTACATTTTTTTTGTGTATGTGTGTGTCTGTGTGTGAGGACTGTTAAGTTGTTCTCTCTTAATGACCTGTCTGTATAGCTTTGCTTCTCCCTGTCTAGTTAACCTCTCCCCTTCATTAACCCAGACATCAGTTCCCTCTCTGCATTCTTTAATTTCTCTCCATCATCAGTCATCTTCCTCCCTCCATCATCCTTGCACACATCACTGGAGATGACAGCATTGCCATGCCAACCGTTTCTCTCGTTATGCTAGCTCACAGTTGACGAACCAACTTCTAAATTAGGGCAGCATCACTGACGGCAACTGTCAGACCCAAAAAACATATCTTTTGATAATAATGTGGGAAAAAAATTGGTCCCTTTGGAAAAAAAATCCTTTCAAATTATTATTACTAAATTGGTTCTAACCACCAAAAAAGGAGCTTTGCTCTTCTCATCTACGCTTTGTTTTCAGCCTCTGGGTATGTTTCTCTTGCCAGTAGAGCCGAAGCATTATTTTTATATTTATCAAACCTGCATCAGTATCAGCTGTCATCACCCAAAATACGTTACCACAGTTTTTTTTATAAATATACCTTTTTTACATATTTTTAAACAGTGATATAATGATTTTAGGTTGAATCAAGGTTATATATTGTAGTGGTCATTGTTCCATCTACAGCTCTTAATGTCGACATGATGAATTCGTTAAACGTAACTACAAATTGGAAACGAAAGCATCCGCCAAGTTAATGTGATGTCAAACTGCTGCACAAAATACAACTTTTGTATATTGGTAGTAATTATAATACACACAAGCTCTGTTCTTATATTGCTTTTCATTGGTGTGGAGTATATGTGGAGTATTACAGGACATTGTACATTTAAAGTTTTAATATATGACATGTAAAGAATATTTGCCTAAATCAAGAAGTGCACACACGTCATAAACCCATATATATATTAATATACTTACACACACACACACACACACACACACACACACACACACACACACACACACACACAGACAGCAGTGTCATCATATCATCATCAGTATCAATAGAGACACCATCTCTTCACACTAATCCACATTGAAGGTCAGTACCAGTGTCAGATTTATGACCAGTGTACTGTATGTTCATTGGTATAGTGTGTCACGTATCACTGTAAAAATGTGATCTATTTAGTTGCCACTTTTGTAATGGAGATATTTATATAGCTCTTTGATCAGTTCTAAAAAAGATACAAATTTGACAATTATTTAAACGTTTTCTTTCAGTTCACAGTGCAAGTGTAAACATTAAGAAAAGTTACATAATAAATGAATGCCACTTTGACAAAGTATTGTACATTTAATATCTGAATTTATTTCAATCATACCTGACATAATAATGGCATTTCGCTAATCAACAGCAGCAGTTTTTGACCAGACAGACTTAAACTATTTGCAGTAAATGGGGAGTCAGTGTAAATGGTTTAGCCCCCTAACCCTCCGAGTGTCAACTCTGACCTGGCCGGTATGTGACCTGGCAGACAGGAGGAGGTGCTCAGAGACGCATCAGCTGGAGCCTCTTACCATCTGAGACAGGGGTGTCCCATATCAGGGCAGCGCTGGATCCCTTACACTGAACCGTGACATGATGAGATATAAGGGGACACACAGAGAACCATATTTGGAGTCCTGTACTTACAGTAGATTCTTTCCTTTCTTCAACAGAGAGAACATTTGAAGGGCATTATGCCATATTGCAGCGTGATTTACTTCTTTCTGCAGACATCTTTGATGGGAGTTAAACTAACTGAGTAACTGATCTTTCTCTTTGTCTTAGTTGCTGGTTCTGGTGTACCTTGTGACATACCTGGGAGAGCTGTCCAATGGCCTTACTCTGCTCATCATCAGTAAGATATCTCACTACTGGAAATGTTGAATCTATAAAATATAACTGTCTGATTTGATGTCAACTTATCTACTTTTCTCTGTTTTTCTGCAGGTGTAATCGCTGTCTTTTCTTTGCCACTTTTCTACAGACAACGCCAGGTAATAACCCTCTTAATTGGCCCCTTGTACTGTCACTTTAACTGGTCCTTTATTTTCATATTCATTTAAGTAACTGAAACACTTCTGTTATTTAACAGGACCAGGTGGACAACGTCGTTGCACAAATCCAGGGCAAAATGGACAACTTTAAGGACACGTGAGTATAGCTCCATCTTCTGGTGCAATATTGCCACCAACACTGGTATTTTGCTACTGAGTCAGTTTTGTGGTCTGTTGTAGTATCCACACTTGATGTTATTTACTGCATGTTTTCCGGATACTGCTAGTGTCAACTTAACGGTTTAAAACAAAACGGTTGTCTTTGTGTATATCACAGGGACATTTATGATTAATGAGAACATCCTGTCACTCAGACAAGCTCATTGGAGCGCAGATGATCTGTTGGGTTCAATTTAATTTCCATATAATGTACAATCAACCAGTGTCAACAATTGTGCATTACAATTACAGTCAGATCGGAGCAATAATACATTGATTACAATAACAACAATCAAGCCATTCAATTTATATAACATATAATATATATACAATACATAAGACAAACATGATGAGGTTTGCAGCAGGGTTAGCATACATGTGCATCAAGTGATGGTTAAGTGTACTTTTGGGCCTTTGCAGCAAATTAATGTGTAAGAATTCAAAACTGCAATGTTGGAAGGACAGGCCCCCAGTAACTATTTTCTATTTATCTCTCTCACAGTCTTTGTAGAATTGCCCATGGTGGTGGCCCTCCTCCTGACTCAACTCCTGGTGGCGCCAAACCCAAATCCCAGTAAACACTGATGGACAAGAACTTAAGGAAAAGCTCCCAGAGATACAGGATGTCACTCAGATGTCTTACCCCGCAGTCTGTGCTCAGAGCTCCAGAGATCGGAGCTCCAGAGACTGGGGAGGGGAGGCTACTTAAACGGACAATGATGAGGATCACGCATGGTACTTTATACTCTAGCTGTATCTAATTTATGGGGTTGGAGGTTGGGGTCGGGGTTTAAACGTAATCAAGGTGTATGAATCTTGAATGGGACTCTAGCTGGTGACGTCGGAGATGAAAAGATTCAATGACACAGCTTGATGATCGTTGGAAATATTCACTGTTTTTAATATGTTAAAAATGACTCAAGAAGTGTCTTAGATGGCTGAGAGCTGTAATCCAACTGAGGTACAATGACCAGGAATGGAAAGTTCCCACATCAACAGCTACTCACCTAAAAAAAGAGAAGTTGGTTGATAAGGTGAAAAACAGGGGTCATCATTATTCATGGCAGCGTAAAACTGGCAATTAAAGATGCATGTGTCAGCACATGAACTTTTTCTGAATGCAGAATCATTTTCATGACTGTGTGTGTGTGTGTGTGTGTGTGTGTGTGTGTGTGTGTGTGTGTGTGTGTGTGTGTGTGTGTGTGTGTGTGTGTGTGTGTGTGTGTGTTTGATTCCTGACCTACAGCTTAGTGAAATGAAAATGCTACCTACACGCAATTAAAGTCACACTTCTTCTTTATTTTTCAATACTTTCTGTTTCCTTTCACCCACATAGGCATTTACTTTATTCACATCATTCATTTGAGTTGTATTTTTTTTTCAGCTCACACCACTGAACATTTGTAGCATAATATTTAGAGAAATAGAATCTTCTACTACAAGTTTAATAATTAAGATGTATCATAAATGAAAGGAAATGGCCTGACAGGACTTCATTTTAGGATCACATGATACAAAATGCAAGTATTTCAGATAGATATCTTCTCTGAACTCATAATGTAATTATTTGAAGCCTTTTGAAGTAATGCGGGAGTGAAATACAGCAGGTGCCTTGTAACAGTAACTGCAGGTTATAGTGCATGATCTGATTCAAAGTACTTCAAACTTCTGACAACCGCTTACAGCGACTCCGCCTCCCACAACAAACCACTTCACCTGACCATTGCCTTCCGGAGAATGGTGTTTTGTACATATACTGTACAATACTTGTGTAATGTGCACCATGACAAGTAGGTATCTTATACAGAATTGTAAGTAGATCCGTTTTAGGAATAATACAATTATTCAGGATACTCTGCAGCTTCACATTTTCCTTTAGCAGTTGCATTTAAACCTCATACCAAAATGTGTTTGTTGTTATGCCTTATTATTGCATAAGTTAAATATGTGTGCTTCAGTGAACATGTGTTAACAGACATGATCAGCTAAACATGAACACTTTTTAGCCTTAGACATTTGCTGCTTAGTAGCTTCCTGCAGCAGTTTTCTGTAATAATACAAAATGAGATCAATCGTCTTGGATTTCTTCTGAAAAGAACACTCAAATTGTAGGCACTGACTTCCTTATCTATTTCACAGCCTGGCATTAATTAAGAAAATGTTAATTTAATGAGTTATTTCTTGTCAAGCTATATTTAAAAAAATATGTAGCTTGACAAGACTCACTTAGTCTAGACAACCACATAATTAACTTTTTAGATTTTGCTGAGTGGATGGGAGATAAATCCAAACAGGAAAGCAACTTCTGAACAGACAGCCATAACATCCATTCTAGTAGTATACAGATTATTTTGTATTCCTGAATACAACTAGGGTTTTAATCTTGGAAAAATGCTTTTTCAGTATGTATTTTATTCGATGTTAGAGAAGGGGACATACAACTCATAAAGATATTATACTATCTAACCAAAATGACTTACTTTATGTATGATCTTTATATGTATAGCTTCAGATAATGTTGGATAACCAGAAATTACACTAGGTGCAGGAATATGGGCCTACGACAGTAAATGCTAAATTGTGTTGCAGCTTATTGTTTGTTACTGGTTTCTTAATGAATGTTGATCTTATAGACTCATGTGATTTAAAGTTAGGGTTTTACATATGCACTTATTTTAAAAGGGTCACTTTGGGCATCTTAATTTGCTTGCCCTGTAAATATTCAGGCATGGTAGTTTCTGTTTCTGTCTCTTTCACACAACCACAAGGAGGCGACAAAAGTCAGGATATTACTTGATGTTTTTCAAGTGCCCATTGGGTCTGACAGCTTGCGAAAACTGGAGGACTCCAGCCACTGGACAGTTTTAAAAACTACCCAATCAGAGAAAGAGTTACATTTGAATTTCTCCATTCCTTATACAAGTATGATTTGATTGAGTTGTGTTTTTTTTTTTTTTATCTTCTCCACTATATTTACAGTCTGTTACTTTTTATGCTCAGCTGGTCGCGAAATAAAGTAGGTCAGGTCAGGTGATAGATCTGAGTAGGTTTTATATTTCAGTACTTTATGTGTCATGTTCATAACGGACATAAAGGCTGTCCTCCTTTACAGTGATAGTGACAAGTCTGGACTTGTCTGCCCAGTTTCAAACTCAATGAGCTCATGGCAACACAGTAAGTTGACTAAAAATAATGACACAATTGGTTGTGATGTGGACTATAAATTACCTTGTTAAAATAATATAAATGAAAGAATCACACGTTAAACAATTTGATATACATTTCTATTCATCAAAGAGTCTAGTAAGCATATGTTTTTTTTAGAATAAACTTCTTTAATACAGACTTCCCAACCTGTCTGTTCAGCCCGTTCAGCCCCCTGTTGGGAGGTAAAGAGGGTGGGATTAGTCAAGACCCGCCCTCTCATTGTAAACGGCTCGGTCCCATGCTTCAGTCCTGATGCAGATCTGCCACAGTGGAGTTGGTCGCGCGCAGAACAGGAGCAGAGGTGTTACGCACGAGTCCATCTCGAGACTATAAACCTATGATAAACTCTTGTTAAGGAAGGGATTCTGTTCTCATGGTGGGTCCTTCATCTGCCCGTCGAAGAGCGCGGTGAAGTGTTGGCTGTTTTAATGTCACCTCCAACAATGGATTACGGACGGACCATGGCCCCTCCGGTACCCCCCCACAACCCCAACCAGAGCCGGCCAGGGGGGGAGCGGCTGCTGAAGTGCGTCCTGCTCGGAGACGGAGCTGTGGGCAAAACCAGTCTGGTGGTCAGCTACACAACGAATGGCTACCCAACCAGATACGTCCCTACTGCATTTGATGACTTCTCAGGTAAAAATGACTTTACAGCATGGTTTATGCATTAAGCCTTCAAAAGTGAGAACCAATCAATATAAAAACATACTCTGCGAGATAGACTGTGCATTGGTATTTGAGCATATTGTCCAGTTATGATGTTGAATTAAAGATATTGTTTTCCACTTAAGAAGTTAGTCGGCTAGTTTCCACCTGCCTGACTATCACTAAATTTCACCAGCTTTGCCTGTTTTGAGAGCACCCTTTCATTCTGCCATTCACCCTATTTTTCTATTTGTACGATAGATGATTTTTTTTCTTTATCTAACTTTCCTCTTTGTTAATGCACGTTAGTTATCCTCCCTGAGATTGCCAGTTTTGCATTTGCCATGGTTCAACTTTCCAAGCTGTCTAACTTGTCCCAGCAGGCTTTGTTTACTGCAACCTGAGTGCAAATATCACAATTTTCCAAAGGGGAAAGTTGTTTTAAACTGGTCAGTGTTGGCATTACACACACCTGTGACTTGTTGATAACCTTCATGATAACATTCTCAGACCGTCACTCCTGAGCTTTTCTTCAGAAACTCTGAAAATCTTACACTGTGAATGAAGTTGTCACTCCTATAATAATCAGAAAGTAGGACTATTGATAACTGCACAATCACACATTTAGATGTAAGGAATTAATACTTGTGTCCTGTAACCATAACTGTTAGTTTAAATAAATGTTGCTATTAATCACTGACATATTACAGTGACGAGCTGTAAAACTGACAACTTGGCCAACACACACCCTATAAAACCCTTGTTGAGAACACACACCGCCCTCAGACGAGCGCTGGCTCAACCCTCCCGTACTGGACAGAGAGCGTCTCCGTCTCAGGGGTTTTGGATTGCACAACTCTGCCTATTGTTGTCAGCCTTGACCCGTGAGCCCTCTGCTCCATACTGGAATAGGCACATCTGTTGCAGTGGCTCAGAGGCAGAGATTGTCTTTCGCCTAGGCCTGACAGAGAGTGATTGTGCAGTTGGGGCCCTTAATGGTGATGTCATTTCTTGGTGCCCTGGAATCAGAGCGTCCTCTTGAAAGCTGACTTCTGAGCAGTTACGCAATGCCACAGGTGGCACAGCGGAGCAAGAGGCTGCAATAGGGGACGATAAGAGGGAGTTTTAGTCCAAAAAAATCAAAGGAGTATCATATGTCAGGGATTACAAAATGATTACACAATGGCGGCTCCCTCTCACTTTCCTTTCTTTATGTCCTCCTGCTCTTTCTCCTTGCCTTTGTAATGCTACCATGCCTGTCCTACTACACGAATCGGTCTAGCAAACTCTTTGATCAGGTGGTATGACCGACTATATACTCCAGGCGTATTGTAAATGTTTCCATGTGCCTGCTGCTTTGCATTGTGCTCACTCCTCTGAAAATAATAAATGGGCCTATAATGAAACTTTAAAATGACTCATCCACTTTTCCAATCTGGAAATAAGTCCTAATAGAAGAGAGTCCCTGAACAAACCCCCTATTAGTGGACCTTGGAAAGGCCTCTATCAAAACACAGCGGAGAACAAAGCTCACAGAGTGGGTCCAAGCGACAGTAAAGTGCATGGTCTCAACAGTAACTGGCAGGGTGGGTGGGCGAGACAGAGCAGGCCGTCTGTGAGCGGGAAACGCAGAGCAGGGGGTCTTTGTATTCTCAACTGGCAGGTTTTGTTTATTCCAAAGAATATTCTGGTGTGTGTGTGTGTAGCCTCACTGAAAAAAAGTAATGGTGACAGCTGTGACTTATTATCTCTGTCTTTTTCTATGTCAACAGCTGTGGTACAGGTGGATGGAAACCCAGTGAGACTACAGTTATGTGACACTGCAGGACAGGTGAGTTTTGTACAAAGACATATTACATTACATATTTGGCACCCTGTCCATATCACAATGTAGCCTATGCCTCTCAATCTGTCAGGTTTTAGCCATATGCTAGTGGCGTGGCTCTTCATGGCATCTGCAAAATGACTGACACTTCCTTCAGCATCATCTGAACTTTGTGTTTAGTGCTGATCAGTAAATGTTTAAAGCATATTTCCATCAGCTAATCACCATCTAGCTTCTCACATGGAAGGATTTTTTAGCTTTTCATGTTTTTATATTATTTTTGTGGGGCTGCTGGTTCTATAAAATAAGCCATTTTACTATCACATCTTAAGCATTTATCTGTTCAAGCGTTTTTATAGTATTTTTTTACTTTGACTGAATAATTAAATAGTTGACTTAAGTATTTAGCATGTAGTCTTTACATCACATGGGCCTCTCGCCTGCTACTTCAGGTAGCTCTTCTGTATGGAAAATGGCTACATTCCTGGGCTCTGCTGTCAATCTTCATCTAGAATGAAAATAACACCTCAATAGATAGGTATCTTATGGTGGTGCATTGCATTGGTAGATGGGAGGTATTAATGGAAAAAAAAGAAAAGTAAAACAACTCTCTGCTTTAAGGA